TATGGGTGACATTTTAAGATATATATAAAAGGGAATTCTTGATTTGTATGCCAAAGGTCAAAGGGTGCAAGTTAGTTATGCTCTTTGATATGGTTTTGAAGCTAGTTAAAAGTCTCTAAACACCTCCAAAAAGAGCTTATGCACTGAGCTAAAAAGTGCCATTAGGTTGAATTCTATGTTCTATGTTCTATGTTCTATGTTCTATGTTCTATGTTCTATGTTCTATGTTCTATGTTCTATGTTCTATGTTCTATGTTCTATGTTCTATGTTCTATGTTCTATGTTCTATGTTCTATGTTCTATGTTCTATGTTCTATGTTCTATGTTCTATGTTCTATGTTCTATGTTCTATGTTCTATGTTCTATGTTCTATGTTCTATGTTCTATGTTCTATGTTCTATGTTCTATGTTCTATGTTCTATGTTCTATGTTCTATGTTCTATGTTCTATGTTCTATGTTCTATGTTCTATGTTCTATGTTCTATGTTCTATGTTCTATGTTCTATGTTCTATGTTCTATGTTCTATGTTCTATGTTCTATGTTCTATGTTCTATGTTCTATGTTCTATGTTCTATGTTCTATGTTCTATGTTCTATGTTCTATGTTCTATGTTCTATGTTCTATGTTCTATGTTCTATGTTCTATGTTCTATGTTCTATGTTCTATGTTCTATGTTCTATGTTCTATGTTCTATGTTCTATGTTCTATGTTCTATGTTCTATGTTCTATGTTCTATGTTCTATGTTCTATGTTCTATGTTCTATGTTCTATGTTCTATGTTCTATGTTCTATGTTCTATGTTCTATGTTCTATGTTCTATGTTCTATGTTCTATGTTCTATGTTCTATGTTCTATGTTCTATGTTCTATGTTCTATGTTCTAGGTTCAAGTAGTCTAGTAGTCTATGTTCTATAGTATATGATCTATAGTCTTTGTTCTATCTTATATATTCTACAGTCTATATCTCTAGTTTTTTTGAGTGTGTGTGTAGCACGTATTGGTCACCCATCAATAAGTGGTGGTAACCGCTGCGGCCGAGGCTGATGCCGCAATCGCTTGCACATCTAAATCCACCTCAAATTGAATAATGAACGCAAAGTGACTGAGTGGCCGCCGCCCATTGCTATCGCTCAATGGAATGCAGTAAATCAGAGTATCGTTGAAAGCTACTTCTGGTCGCCAGCCCTTGGACCCCCAACCTAACTCCAAGTCCCGCTTCGACAACAATAGCAGCAGCAGCAGCAGCGGCAGCAAGCACGATTGGACAGGTGCCCCAAAAAGTAGGCAACGAAATGGTAATTCACGAAATGTGAGCGACGCACACTCCTGCCAACCCCGAACCCCCAACCACCGCCCATCTAACACTTTGAGCCTCATTCGCTTAGCTGTAAACATCAATTATGCCGCCCCCAAAACTATTCACGCGATTAGCCGCGTTTTCTAGTTATTGGGTAATAGCCATTGCCAGTTGCCGGTTTTTGGGTAGCTAACTACGGGGGTATTTTGGTGGGAGGGGAGAGGGAGGGGGCTTCTTCTACGTATAGGCGCAAGCGAATTTCAGCGTTACGCTGAATTGAATTAACGAGTCCGGTTGTGCCGTGGCTAGCTGTAAATTTTACAACGGTGCATCTGATAAACGTGGCCGTGCCGACATGCGGGCCCATAAAAAGGCTGAGCCAGTGAGTCAGCAGCCGTCGGGGCCGAAGAGTTATATCAAATGCTGAAAACTGTGCGAAAAACACAGCGAAATGTAAAACAGACAACGCTCGCGTTTCTTAGTGTGTGTTTGTGTGCGTGTGTGTGTTTGTGTGTGTGTGTGCTTGGTGTGCGTGTGTAAATTTGCTGTGCTGTGCTTTGCTTCTGGCCCGGTCTTAAAAGCGAAAAGCCATTTGTATTCATTTGAAATTAATTTAGCATTCATGCAAGGCCCAAGACGCGCCAGCCGCAAGAGGCGCAACATCAGCAACGGCACCAGCAGGGGGTCGCAGGGGTTCGCAGGGGTACAGCGAGGGGGGGGGGGGGCACAGTATCTGGAGCAGTGGCTGTGGCAATATATGGCGCCTAAGCAATGGATAAATACGTGTACGTGGCATACATTTTGCCCGCAATACAAAAGACGAGCCAAACAATTTGCTCCTAGAGCCGTGTCCTTTGCGCCTTCGCTTATCGATAAGCAGTTGATGCCCCACCCCATTCCCCCTGCCCGCCCGCCAATGATTGCACAATTGAAACTACCGCCGGCTGCTAGGCTGGAGGCACAAGCTACGAGCCCCGTGCCTCGAGACGTGCGCCTACTCTACTAATTTTAACAAATTAATTGGCAACAATAAATTTACTGGCAAAAAGGTGTGCAGATAGCATCTCGCATAGGTTCTAAAGGAATGCGCCACTCCCTCTTCTGCACCGGGGCGGGGTGCAGCTATAGATTGCTCCACTAATTTGATTCGCTCAATGACAGACGCTTAAGCACCGCTATACAGCTAATATATTTAAGATACCCAGCAGTAACAGCAGCCTATAGACTGAGAGGGCTGAGTTGTTCAGCCTCAACCTCACTTTTAGTTTATTAAGTCTACAAGAATATATGTAATAAGCTGTAGATTATCTTTGCAGCTGGAAAATATATTTAGCTATCTTATAAGTAAACCGTGTCTAGGTGTGCGTTGGTTCAAGATATACACTTATAGACATATAAATAAGTATATGTGTACACCTACTAATAAGCAGACAAACATGCAGACGTAAAGCTTATTAGATTTCAAAGAGAATTTATTATCACAGCATGAATAACTGTATGACTGACACCGTCAGGAATTCATGAGAATCGCATAGTAGGGCATTTAAAAATATTTTATCTTTAATAGGCAGCGCAGCGGTAAGTTCTTAATTGGTTCTACGTTTGCCAAAAGATAACATACATACACATGTTAACATACACACACACACCTTCACTCATACAAGAACAAAGATTCTTAGATTGCCAACACAACTTGTTAATATAGCACTTACAATCAGAGCATTTAAACCTGTAAGTCTTAGTCGAATTCATGAGAATCGCATAGTAAGGCTTCATGTAAAAGTACGTTTTATTTTTTCAATTGGCAGCGCAGCGCAGGAAAGCAAACTTGGTCTGCGACTGGCATAAGAGGAAAGCATACAAACATAAACACGTAGATACACACATACGTATGTACGTTTGTACAGTTCTAAAATTATATGAAGTTTGGGTAACTTATGAAAGCGTCAAGGGACACATAAAACTTTACAAAACTTTAAATCTATCAATCATAACAAAAATACCAACTAAATAAACCTAATCAAGCAAGTTTGTAGCTGCAAAAGCTGTGGCATTAGATGAATATATGCCTTCTTTTCCTTTCATATATACATATATATATATATATATATATTATATTAGAAGCAGCTTAGCACACGATTAGCTTTAGAAAATTCAACAATTTGCCAGATTAACCAAAATTCTCTGCAAACTAAATACAGCATTGAGCAAACAAAGCATTCGTAAATTTTTATTAAAAAATACATTTTTGCTTTCTTTTCAAACTTTTTACCGCAACTAAAGCACTTGCCTTGTACAAAAGCGTATTATATGAAAAATAAATTTGTATTTCTGCAGCTGCCACAACAATCAAAAATGCCAAAAATAGTTTTTATTGTGCCACAAAGTATTGTGCTATATATATATAAATTTATAAACTTATATTATTTAGTCAAGGGAATCGTGAACTTGAAGCGCTCGAGTGCCCTCATTGTCCGCTAGGTGTCGCACTCTAGCATTTATGCATTGTTCCCACACAAAATTTACATTCAGCAGCGCACCGAGCGTTTTTCTAGTCAAGCACTCTCGACTGAACATTTTGGCACTTTATTTATTAGCTTGTAAGCCGCGCGTTGAAATGCCCCCCGACGCCGACGCCGACGCGGACGTCGACGTCGACACCGACCCCAGCAGCTTAGACTAAAAGCCAGGCGCTCATCGCGTCCCTCTGCTGTCCGGCCATGTTTTGCGAGGGGCTTGGGGGCCAATTGCGGGTGTATGAGGTTACGGATACGCTTTCGACAGCAACATTTGCGGCCCATAACACGCAACATTTGACACGGTCGGCCATGGAGACCAACAGCAACAGCAGCAGTAGCAGCATGTACAGGTGTTTATTGGATAGGGGGGTAGTTAGTGGAGCGGCCTCACAAATCTTTCACGACTGCGACGCGTGTACATAAACTCAAATTGGCCTATAACTGTCTGTTCAATTGTTTTTGTCGCATGCGAATGGAGGGGGGTGCGGTGCTGAGTGTTGGGCAATGCTCACAAACATACCTACATATTGCGGTAAAAATCACATTGCTGTGGGCCAACGTAAATCATTCATGTGAGTTGCAAAGCCCCCAAATGTCGACTATATTAATATGCCAAAACGAAGGCGTGTATATGGCGAATATTCATATGTACGTGACTATTGAGCACATTATGCTCGGGCCCGCGTTCCGATGCGGACGCGATGCGATGCGACGCGACGCGACGAATTGAGTTGAGTTTAGTTGAGTTGAGGCAGGTTGTGCTAATAACCCAGTTAACGTGAGAGCCCGTCAGAACACTCTCTATTTCAACGCGCTCTCTGTCGCATTCTCTTTTTCGTTTCGTTCAACTCAAGCTTTGGCTCTGCGGTCGCTGCTTTGTGCTACCTGCGACAAAGTCAAACCCTTTGCCCGAGCTTTAATGCATGGCGAAAAAATTGCCCACTTTACTGCTTATTATAAATGTAAAGGGAAACGCAAATTAAAGTTTCATGCTGCCGCTCGCGCTCTCATTCTCTAGCTCTCTCTCTCACACGTTCTCGCTACGACTGCGCTGTAAGCTTTTGAGAGCGCACTTCGAGTGAGACGCTTCGGCTGGCATTCGGCTGTGTGCTGCTCTCGCCTAAGGTAGACGACGACACGCGTTGACTGCCTGCTGCCTGATGAATCAGTTCCAGTACGTGAATCCTGCCGCTAGGATGCACGTGTACGCACGGCCGCTGCAATTGATAACTTACATTGTGGCACATTTAATATTAAAATAAAAAAACAGCTTAAGCAGAAACGAAAATAAAGAAAAACAACGGCTATTTAATAACTGTATCCCCAGTCAAACCAACAACAACAAAACGAACGTTGCTCACGTACGAGGCGGATACACAAAAATGCGAAGCTCACGCGCGCCCATGTGTGCGTTTGTGTGTGTGTGTGTGTGTGTGTGCGTGTGTGTGTGAGTGAGTGATTGTATCGGTGTGTGTAGTGCTTATATCGCATACCTATAGAGCAGTACCTAATGTGCCCGTGCATACATATACATACAAATAAAATAATACAAAGGCAACGTTGTCGTCGCTGTCCTCGACGCCCTGCTTCTTCCCGTTTCCCCGCGCCGTTCGTGTCCACGTTCATTGTCGTTGGTCGAGTGCTAAACGGAAATATTTGGTAGTCCAGGTTATTGCCAGAACAAAAATATAAGGAAAAAACAATAAAAAAATAAAAACGGAAAGAAAAACACAAACGTTGAACCGGAGAAAGCAACAATGGCAGCCCAAATGAGCGGCAATCGAAGCGAGAAATGTTTGCACACATAAATGTTGAGTTTCCACTAATTATTCCGCATTGCGCAATCGATTGTCAAAATAAATCAGCTCAGCAAAAAGTAACGAATTCCGAATTTGGCTCAAAATGAAGCCGGCACACAGGCAATGCGAGGAGTACACATAGGACAGGTGCTTAGAGGTAAGTAAAAGCATACTGTGCATATGATCTATATGAAAATATCACATAAAACTCCAGCAGAGGCAACAGTTAAAAGTTCTGTTTGGTAAAATAACTGCCTTAAGAATAGCAAAGCGCTAGGGATAACCAAAATTAGTAACATACTAATTATGCAAAATAGGAAATATCACAAAAGAAAATCTAAGTAAACGAAATATAATAAAGGGAAAAATTAGGTATAAGAATATTTTATATAAGACTCTAGCAGGGGCAGCAGTTAAAATTTCGGTTAGGTAAAAGAACTGGTAAGTGAGAAATCTAATTAGAAAAAGTAATTGAGTTACTTTTATTTTTAGCATATACAACAGCAAGAGAATAGGGCTAAGAATAATCAAAATTAGTAACACACTAATTATACAAAATAGGAAGTATCACAAAAGAAAATATAAAAATAGCTAATATAATAGAAGGAAATATTAGCTATAATAATATAAAATGAAGGAGTAGTAGAGGTAACAGTTAAAAGTTCTTTTCGGTAATAGAACTAGACTCTGAGAAATCTAATTAGAAATAAGGGTTAGCTTATTTATACAAAATAGCTCAGCAAGAGACTAAGAGGAGTATGGAAAATCTAAATAAGTGGGGTATAAATTATACGAAAAGAAAATATCATAAGAGAAAATATAATGAAAGGAAATATAAAAAAAACCCTCGACGCGAGGAAAATAAAGAAAAAACACAGTTCTTAAAAACCCAAAAGCCAGAGGCTACTTTTTTGTTGAATAGAGATCATTAAAGAGTGTGTAAAGCAAATATAACCTAGAAGTTGAAGAACGCCTCTTACAGGTTATTTTGACAAAGGAAAACTTTTTAAAGAAAAATATCATAAGAAAGTATTTAAAAGAAAAATATTATAAGAAAGTATTCAAAAGAATAATATCATGTAGAGCCCAGCTGCTAAAGATTCCTTTTGTGTAAGACTTCGACTAAAAATAATACCATAAGGAAACTGAAATCAGATGATACCTAGTGTTAAGTGGACCTTTTACTGTCCATATCATCTAAATGGTTTTTACCGTATGGAACCCATATTCTAGAGCCCGCCCTTTTGTTTGGGACTTTGACAAATATGCGGTTTTAAAATGCTATATTCAAAAATGTAGCTAAGCGTTGGTTAGGACCTGACATTTGTTTGTTTGATTTCCATGGAAAAATGACGTTTGGGACCCCGGGGCGATAATTCTTTATAATAGCAGCGCAAAATGCTCATGCAAAAAGGGACAGCGGTCAGCGGCACAAACAAATAAACACATACACACACACATTCACACACACATACAAAGAGGGGGCCACTGACCAAAACAAATAGCGGGCCACACGAACCCCTTGACCCGAGTCACGCAGCTAATTGGACAGACAACGAATATATATATATATTGTATGTATATATATATGAATATTTTTGAGTAATGGCCCAGGATTATGAATATTTTCCCGTGCTAAATGTATTTCCATGGAATTTTTCTGTTCTGTTCCGCTCACCCGACGCAGCTGAGCAAATATTTTGGGTTTTCTGGTCTCGGCTATGATAGAGCGAAAGAGCTACGACCGTAAGTAGCCGTCATAAATTGTAGATGTAATTTATAACAAATTCACCGAATATAGCGAGTACTTGGCCCGCAGGAGAAATAAGTATTAAAGCGTATAAATAAGCACTTATTTGGTGATAAAGCTGACTCGTTTATCTAAAGGCTGTAGCTGAACCGAGCAACTTCCCAAAAATAGTAATTACAATAAATTATTCTATTAAGCACTGTGCTCTGCTCCCCAGCTACTTAAGAGCTTCTCATTTATTCAGTTTGAGTGTGGAAATTGTTGGAATTTGTATAAAGTTTTCAATTACTATTAGAATCTGGGAAAAATCTCGTCACAAAAGTATGTTCAAGTCATTGGTTTAAGAGAAATTGATTTGAGAGTGGAATCTCGTTAGTGGGATGAAATGAGTCTTAAAAGCTTAAGCTTAAAGTATTTGTGACTTCAGCGGCCTAATTGAAGCTTTAAGAGTTGACATAGAGCTTTTGCTTAGTGCATTGAGCTTTTGCAAGCTTTAATAGTTTTTCATAATTGCTCAATCAATCTTAATTAGGGTTTCGACTATAGTAGAGATTTTTATTTATTATAACAATTACTTAATATAATTAACTTTGATCTACTTCGTTCAATTTCCGTTTCAGATTATCAAAAAATAGGCCTATAAGTTGAAAACAGTTTCACATTGTTCAATTTCATAGGGAAATGAAATCGAGAACGAAATCTAGAACAGCCCATATTTATTATTTTTATGTAGCCTTCTTTTCGGAGCAGTTCCAAGTTTATTGCTACTCATTTTTATGGCCTTTAACGCAGCAAAATTATGAGCTTTCAGCTAATCAAATGTAATGGCATTAAAAGCACTTAAATATAATTTAATTTTTAATTTTCAAGATTATCTTGTAGCATAATTCCAATTCTCTGCTCGTCTAGCCCCTGATCAATTGATATAAAGTATAGCCAGGGCTGTTGGGCTATTGACTGTATTCAAATTATATAGGTATATAGTAATGTCTGCCAGGTGTCTCGTGTTATTATTGTCATTTCGATATACAGATAGAAAATGCATTAGTGAAAGCACAAATATTGTCTGGTTGTTATGGTAAAGCTAATAAAATGGTTTGGGCTGCTAATTAGCCAAAATTTCCTGATTAAGAATCAATATGTATGAGGTCTATTAAAGATATAAAGTTGGTTGTTTGTCAATGGGAAAAAGGGCACATGAGAATATTACATATTAGTATATATATATAAATAAAATATAATATATGTATATTTATAGTTTATAGTTGAAGCATGTACCATTAAAGATGTTCATAAATATTATCAAATAATTAATGGAAAATAATTGGGAGCATAAGCTTTTATTTCCCAGCTAGATGAAGCCCGTCATCTGTTTATACAGTTTTCTTCAATACCTATCGCATTACAACTTTTAATCTGAGCATTTTTATCGCTTTAACTTTCTTTGCCAGACTTTATCAGACTTAAGCCTCTATGTTGAGGCAGAGGAAAGGCCACTGGAAACAACAACAACAAGAGGAGAAAGTATAATAAAGCCGAGAAAAAATCAGCTGCCAGTTCATCGATCAACGTGAATTATGTCGAGGGACAACAAATACAGTTGGGCCTGCCCCCAGAAAGTGCTTTGGCTAACCCAGCTGTGGCTCTTGCTGCTGTTATTTGGTAAGTTTCTGGCTTCAGATGCCAATGACAGGGCATTTAAACCGACACGACGCGCGGCAGCACAAAATGCTTGGTTGGTTTTGCAATACTCTGTTCACAAAACAAATCGAGCTTATTGGCTAACGCCTCTGTCCAGATGATGATGATGATGACTCTCTATGTAAGTGCTTATTGTTGTCAGAGTAAGTTTTCACAATTGTTTGCCACGCCCACTTGTGCTGCCCTAGCCAAGAACTAGAGTCACGAAATATGTTTTGTTGGATTAGCAATTTTTTTCTCTCTCAAATATAAAGCCAAAAACTTTTGGCTCACGCACGCCTTTGCACACGCAAAAACCAAAAATGATTACAGTTTGAGAGTCACGAGCGTTACAGTTTGGGAGTCACCAAGCAATCTATTACACAGCTTCTATAAGCAAGACTGAAAAGTGGTTCGAACACGATTATCGAATATTTGCTTAATGTGAACCAAAGCTTAAACTGAAGCAACTCAAACGTTCAGTCGAAATGTAACATACTCCATCAATTGACGAAAATCATGTAACTTACAGATTTGAACCATGAATCCAAGGGAAATCAAATGAATCCCTTTTCCTTTTTTGTAGATTGGAGATAATATTTTTAATGTATATCGTTAGGCATTTAAATTTTTGTGCTGTGAACAGAGTATTGCGCCGTCGGCTTCATATTGTCTGCCACTTTTTTAATTATTTTTCTTGTTTTTTTATTTTTTATTACTCTATGTGTATATAGAAAGCAGCCTGGTCATCAGCGAAGTGCCTCCACATTACTGGGAAACCCCCTACTCAATGCCGTATTTTGATAACTCCTCGCGGCGCGAGGTCACGGCAACCGTGGGGCAAGCGGCGCTGCTGCATTGCCGCGTTAGGAATCTGGGCGACCGGGCGGTAAGTTGAATGATGTTTCTTCGGGGTGTTGGGGGTCAAACCAGGGGCACGCAATTAAAATGCGCCCCAGAGTCAAAGCCAAACATTTTATATGTATATGTGACGCCCAGAGGGTAGACATGGGGCCTGTTAGGGGGCGAGGGAGGGGCGGGGGTAGGGTCACAAACAAACGACCTGCGGCGAGCGCCTGGCAGATTTGTAGATTACTTTTAAAAGATTACGCCATAAAGTTGGCGGTCTAACCGACATGGCCCACAGTCCTAGCACGCGTCGCCTATCTCTGTCTCGCTCTCGCTCGTTCTCTCCCTCTCACTTTCTCTCTCTTGCTCACTCTCTGGCTTGTACAGCTGCTTGTTCTTCTTGTTCTTGTTCTGGTTCGCGCATTTGTAACACGACTTCGCTTCCGCTCTCAGCGATTTGTTAGCAAATGCAACAACAGACGTTTCCTTTGCTAACCCCTACTCCCAACCTCTGCGCTGCCACGCCTCCTGCTGGCTTCCACCTCAAAAGCGCTGTGGCTGTGCAATTATGCGGTGTAATAAATTTTGTGCTGTCCGTGTTTTGCACCCCAACCCGCTCCCACTCTCCTGACAGCCCCTTGACCCCAACGACAACGTTGTCAGCGATTGTGTTGTCTCGCCCAACTTTTAGCCCAGAGACAGTTGAATTGAGTAATTAACGCCCAGAACTGCAAGACAAACCAAGTCTGACAAACAATCAGCCAGTCATTCAGCCATTCAGTCAGTCAGTCAGTCAGTCAGCCATTCAGCTGGCTGACAACGTGTTCTGATCCACGACAAAGCCAAGCGCATTGTCGCGTCTTATATTCGGCTAATTGGAGGCGATGTCCCACAATTGCGTGTCAATCAAAGTTTGGATCAAAGATAGAAACTACAAGAAAGCACAGTTAACTGCAGTGTGACAAAGATTAAATACCCTAGCAGACATATAGCTGTTATAGGGCATACTTGGCCACGAAAAGTGCAAGAATTTAGTTTTCAGGAACGTTTTTCCATGTAGCCGTACGATATAGGGCTCAGATGTTGATAGGACTTGACCCTTATTAAGGAATATTTTAAGTTTTAGAAACAGGAAGTTCGTCGTTCGACTTGGCTCTTGATACTGATTAAGATTATATATATTAAGAGTTTCGCCATATGCGCTGTTAAATATATATTTTATCTAGTATTTATACCCAAATCTTAGGCTTTAAAAATATAAATATACTTGCGGGTATAACCTGGCCTTGCCCGTGGCACGTATGTTATAAAATCAATGTTCTCAAACAAATTTGAAATGATTTTGAAACTGATCGGACGGTAAACAAATAACTTTCATACAAACGTTTTCCGCCAATTTACCACTGTTTCCCAAATCGCTGAAACACGTATTCATTACATTCTTATGTAGAGCTTTGAAAATAAGTTTGAAGCAAATCGGACACAACTTAAAACTTCGCACAAAAAATCTTTGAGTCGCATTCCACCCGAAAAAGTTTGGATTCTGCAAAAAGTGTGAAACACGTCTCAAATGATTTTTCTTATAGATCTTTTGAAACGAATTTCCATTTCCACCAAGGAGGAACGGATTTTTCGAAAAGTGTGAAACACCCCTTAAATGAATTTGAACAAAGATCTTTGAAAATAAATTTGGGGCCGATCGGATGGTAAACAAAAAACTTTCATACAACCGTTTTCCGCCAATTTACCACTGTTGCGGGTGGAATTTCCCAAATCGCTGAAACACGTATTCATTACATTCTTATGTAGAGCTTTGAAAATAAGTTTGAAGCAAATCGGACACAACTTAAAACATCGCCCAAAAAATCATTAAATCGCATTCCCCCCGAAGAAGTTTGAATTCTGCGAAAAGTGTGAAACACGTATCAAATGTTTTTTCTTATAGATCTCTGGAAATGAAATTGAGCGCGAATCGTCACATACTTACATACTTACATACTTACATACTTACATACTTACATACTTACATACTTACATACTTACATACTTACATACTTACATACTTACATACTTACAAACTTACATACTTACATACTTACATACTTACATACTTACATACTTACATACTTACATTCTTACATACTTACATACTTACTTACAGACTTACATACTTACATACTTACATACTTACATACTTACATACTTACATACTTACATACGTACATACTTACATACTTACATACTTACATACTTACATACTTACATTCTTACATACTTACATACTTACATAAAAATTGATATATGATAAAATTATAAATCCCTTTGACAGAGTATAAAAACTTTAACCAGCTGCGTTAGACATGCGGACAGCCCACATCTACTAAAATATTCCCTTTTGCGGACTCGAACTATCAACACACACTTAAATATTCCCTTAAATATGAACACAATTATTTCACACTCTAAAATTACTTTCCATTTTAGAACATGTCACACATTAATTAACTCATAAATTTGTAATTAACACAGTTTTTAATTTGAATCTGACTTTATTCCGTAATAAATCATTTCCAGCTCAATTCACAATGGTTAACAATTATTCACAATTTGTGTTCAACATTTGCCAACAAATCGTTTTAATACTGAGATTTATTTTAGTTCTTTTTTTTATGCGCATTCAGAAAAAAAGGGGTTCTAATGAATGTGGAAAGTTTTTATTTTTTTATATCTATTTTTTTTTTGCCTCTTTTCAGCAATTGAGAAAGTTGCAACCCGGCTGAGTAATCGCTTTAAAAAAACTTTCACCTACGGCTTAAAGTCAATTAGTTGAGTTGCAGTCAAAACTAATTCAAAGCGCACAGGTCAAAAGATTTCCCATTTCTCTTACTTGGCCCAATTTGTTCAGCCAACTAACTGGAGCAGGTGGTCAGCTTTTACGGAGATTTGAAGTCATTTAAAGAATTTGTTTTGTTTAATCGGAAAACTTAAACAATTATATTTTCATAATAAATCTAAGCCACTTGCATAGCTGAACCATAATCAACAAAAAGATTTCTAGCTCCAAAGCTGGTATTCATTTAAAAAAAAAAAAAAGATAAATAAATGTTAACTCTGGGACTCTTTAAAGGAATTCGGTTTTAAATTGAAAGGCTTGTGCCTAGGTGTGTTATTGACTTTTTCAAAAGCCAGAGCTGATAGAAAATAAAGGTAGCTTGTAACCAGCTCTCATTCATTGAGGGATTCTATTATTAATAAAAAAAGAGAAACAGAAAATTTGCTAGTGTGGTAAAATGCTTAGATGAAGTGCATAGTAGTTAGTTACTTTGATAGTCTTTTGTTTAAGTTAGTTTATAGTTAATACAAAATATTCTGTAATAAGATTATGATGATTGCTTTTTACAAGTATATTTTCATGGCTCTGGAAAGTTTTTAACAGAAAATCTTTTTAAATAAACAAGATATAAACAAAAAGCTCCAGTAAGAAGTGCCCGACTAGGAAATAGCCCGAACCCATTGCCAAGCTGCCTTCACACACATTCTCCCTTGCTTCTATATATACGCACACAAAAGCAGACGCTCACACATACACACGAACGTACGCACGCGGCTCTGCTTCTTCGTCTTCTCTCTACCTAACACTATCTATAAGAAGTGCATTCTTAATTAACTTCGGTGCTTATAGACCGATCTTAATGAAATTTTCAGCATTTAAATATGGCATACATAAGAGCGTGCTTATCAAGGAGCAAGGCGCTATCTTTAAAAATAAGAATTTTTCCGATTTAGTTCTTTCCAATTCAGGGGAATTGGGGAGAGTTATCCGATAGATTTCGAGAGATAAATGATAAACTCGTTCTGGACAGTTGGAGTTTATCTAGGGTGGAGTAGCGTATTATTGTCTCTTGTCAAACGCCTCGTAATACGCCTAATAATACGACGCGTGGGTATGCTAATGTGACGTTAGAATATGCTAAAGTTATAATCCTTAATACGAGCACGACAACTTGTTGTTTAATTAGTGTGGTCATGTAAGTATAAATGCTATTCGGTTATTTGTGGTCTGCCCACGTATGGACACATTTCCAAGGGTCAACAGAAGCTAAAAATAAATTTAGGTTAAGGTATGAAAGCCTGAGTCATTGGCCTCTCACCTTCTGAAGTCTGGCGCACATATAAATATACATATTCAATTTATTTCATTAGGGGATTTAATGTGTGTGTAGATATTGAATTTCTTTTGAAAAAGTGCTCAATGTATTTAAAGTTTTTCTTGTGCTTGGTTTATTTTTTTTGCGGTCTTTTTGTAGGTCTCCTGGATACGCAAGCGGGACCTGCATATACTGACCGTGGGCATATTGACCTATACGAACGATCAGCGCTTTCAGTCGCTGCACTCGGAGGGCTCCGATGAGTGGACGCTGCGCATCTCCTCGCCGCAGCCGCGCGACTCCGGCACCTACGAGTGCCAGGTCTCGACGGAGCCGAAAATCAGTCAAGGATTTCGCCTGAACGTCGTGGGTAAGTGGATGCGGGTGTGCGTGTGCGTGTGTGTGTGTGGGATGTTGGGTATCCTTTGCTTTAAGCATGCGAGCAATTATTTGTATTTTGTGGTCTTGCTTTACAGTGTCGCGCGCTAAAATTCTTGGCAATGCTGAGCTGTTCATCAAGAGCGGCAGCGACATTAATCTCACCTGCCTGGCGATGCAGTCGCCGGTGCCACCGTCGTTTATCTACTGGTACAAAGGCAAGCGGGTCATGAATTATTCGCAGCGTGGGGGCATTAATGTCATCACCGAGCGCTCGACGCGGACCAGCAAGCTGCTGATAGCCAAGGCCACGTCCGCTGATTCCGGCAACTACACGTGCTCGCCAAGTAGCTCAGGTGAGTTGTCTCTGCCACACAGTGCGGTGGCTGCCACTTACCTGCAACGCCTCCTCCTTCTCCCACGCCTCCTCCTGCTTCTGTTTCTGCTCCTTCTTCCGCTCCTTCGCCTTCGCCTTCATCTATGTACATCTACATCTTCATCTTCATCTACTTTAATGCCAACGTACTTATCCGCCTGTCTGAGTGTTTGTGTGCCCGTTGCAAGTCTCGTTCTATGCCCGCTGGCAATTAATGTGACGTCCCTTGCCAATGGAATTTCCACCACAAGCTACCAGCTCCTCTCTAGAGATGTGGGCATTCTTATTTTTTATAATAAGTCACAAACACAAAGTAAAGCACGGGCAAAAGGTCGTGTTTCAAATCTGCTAAATTCGTGTTACCTTGCGTATGGGTCGTGTTACAGTCGTGTTTAAGTCGTGTTACAGTCGTGTTTAAGTCGTGTTTAAGTCGTGTTTAAGTCGTGTTATTATTATTACTAGAGTCGTGTTAGCCTGTGTAGAGTCGTGTAGAGTCATTGGAAAATCGTACCAAGTCGTGATAAGTACTTATCGTTTGAGCAACATTAAGCTGGTTTAGGTCGGTTTTGACTCGCGTTTCGTTGAATTAAGTAGATTAAATCGTATTGAGTGTTCTTACAGTCGTGTTGAAATCGTATTTGAGTCTTGAATAATCATGTGAAGTCGTATTGAGCAGTTTTAGGTCGGTTTTGACACGTGTTCAGTCGTGTTAAGTAGCTTAAATCGTATTGATTCGTCTTGCAGTCGTGTTTAAGTCGTGTTTCATCGTGCTGAGACCTAGTTGATTTCTTTAATTCGTGTTTTATACCAGTTTTCGATTATTGTATCGAACACAAACTCACAAAGTCTACTTACTTAATACGAGGATGTCGTGCAGAGTCTGAAGAAGTCTTGAAAAAACACGACACGCACCCAACTCTAGCCATTATCTCTTGCCTCCCTCTCTCTCCACGCCCTCTGCCCACTCTCAGCCCAAGTGCATCTCGGTGTCTTTTATTTTATATCCTTATCTTATGCTCAACTTATGCACAGACTCCGCCTCGGTGGTAGTGCATGTCATAAATGGCGAACATCCGGCTGCAATGCAGCATGGCAACAGCAGCGCCAGCTCCTTGCGGTCCACGTGGAGCCCAGTGCCTTTACTTGCCATAACAACGACGACAGCTGCGGTGGCTGTCACATGGAACTGGAACTGGAGCAGCAGCAGCAGCAGCTTTGTTGCAGCCACAGCGCTGCTGCCGGCGGCGCTGGCGAATTGGTGGGGCCGCCGCAGCACCAGCTGGAGCTGGAGTTGGAGTCTGAGCTGATGATGTGGCAGCTGTTGCGGCAAGCTGAATGACAGCCCCGGCCTAGTTGGGGCAGTTGCACTTATCTTCTGTTTAGTGTTAATGATGATGCATTTAATGTATGTGTATGTGTGTGTTAGTAGCCCGAAGCGGTTCATAAACTAAATGGTGTACATACTGCAAAAGTCCTTTAACGAGTTTTATCTGTAAGCAAACCAAATACGATATGGCAGTCAAGGTGACTAAAAAAGCAAAAAATAAAGAAAGAAACAAGTATTAAGAAGCAAACTTTTTAAAGTGAGAAAAAGAAACCCAAACCTAAACATAAGATTGCATTAAAGCATATTCGATGAAACGAAACTCTTTAAGCTTTTCATTTCAATCCAAAAAGATAATAACGCTTTCATCTTGCATTTCGCAACAATTTTCTAGAGTTATTTTTATTTGCGCTGCTTGTTAAAATTTAATAAGTAAAATATTTCGAAGCGTAAGTTTATTTAACATAGATATTCATTCAGGTCAAAGACATAAAAAACTTGTTTGAGCGCGCCAAAAAGTATGCAATGAAAAACTTTGTGATTTTGAGTTGAACGCGTTTTCAGTCCCAGCCTCGCCGTTCGTTCCCTTTGTACACAAAACTCACTTGTAATTCTTCGACATAATACATATACATATACATATTTATATATATATGCATATATAGTTAAATATAGTGAAAAATATAAATCTATACAGTTCACAGCAAAGTCCAGCCAAATTACACGCTATTCAATTTTGATTTCCCAAATGGATTTAGGCATTAACACAAAATTAATAATAAAATAATAAACGTAATGAATTGTGCAGCCTGCTCCTGTGTATATAGTATAAATATTTGTTGTATATCGGCTTGCATCATTCATTATTTAAACAAAACAAAACAAATGCATGGTAATAAACACACAACAACAAAAACAAGAACAAAAACAACTACAACTAGAACAAGAACAACATTAACTGGGTTTTCCTTGTTTCTGTATTTCAATCTGTATACAATTTATACAACTTGAAAAAAATTCTGTGTATATTACTAAGTTCTTATCTGATTGTCTGCCATAAAGTTCTATGTAGTCCATCAACGTGTAAAATAATTAATAATTGATATTACATTATTAATAACTGTAAATTTAGCGCTCGATTTTAAGCGGTCTTGATAAGACTTTTAAGCGATAAGTATAGACGCCCCCCAAGTTGACAACTTTCAAATCACAAAAACCAAAATAAAAACAAAACAAAAAAAATGAAGAAAAATATAAATAATAAATAATGTTTTCTGTTTAAAAAAAAAATAAAAACAAATAAAAATGTTTCTCCATAATAAAAATATGGTTATGGTTAAAATATAATAAAAACGTACTGGCCTTTTAATTGCGGATTATTGGGTAATTTTTGGTTCGATTTTCAATTGGAATACGAAAAGCAGCGCTTAGCTGTTAAGGATTTATTTGAATTGGCAACACTGGCAAGTCGCTTGCTGACGATCAATACGAGCTCCGTGAGAGTGCAGCGGCAGATGTTCAGCAGTCCACGCTCTCAGCGCTGCGGCAGCCAATCAAAATGCTTTTGGCACATTTCGCTGCAATTCGATATTCGCCTAAGTCGTTGAGCGTAATCACAGTGAGCACACTTGTCAAAAGTTCGCTCATATTGTACGCAATGCCGAGAGCAGGTATTTTATACTCAAACGCACTTAAGATGAGCTTAAATGGGGACAGATGCTTCAAGTGGAATTTTGTCTCATGAAAGTTTGCAGTCAATAGTGCAAGCAGCTTAGAGTCGCAAAGCCGCTCATCGCCAATCGCCATGCTGTTCAGTCAGTTTCGGTGGAAAAGCTACTTTGATTTTGTAAACGATATAAATAGAGGTAAGTTGGCAACATTTATACTTATTTCATGTTATATTTTTGACGTAGTTCTATGTGAATTGGCAACAGTGTAACTTGAGTGCTGTTATAAATATAGCTTTAACTAGTTGGGCAGCACTAGCAAATTGATTTAAAATGAGCCTTTTTTCTGTAGTAAACTGCGCCTGCTTCCGGCCGTGTGCTAATGATCAATGCTAACGAGCAAGAAATGCTGCCCATCGTTTATCCTATTATGGCAATATTTAATTAACACGCAATATGTGGTATGCTTGCCAGCTTTTTGGTTCGATCTTCTTCATTATATATACGACATGTTGGCTACGTTGTTGGCCCTAAAAAGCCGACAGTTTTTGTGGCTGAAGTGCACCCAAAATGAAAGACTAATTAAGCGGCTTATTTGCACGCGTTAATAGACCAACTTGTGGTCAGCTTGTGTGTGAAAGTGTGTGTGCATGTGTGTGTGCGGTTCAACAGCTACCATAACAATAACAACAAACAGTCGTGACCAGAGCAGTGACCATTTATTTATGTTTCGATTTAAAAATAGCAAACACACAAATGGACTTATAAAACTCTCTGGCAGCTTACGTGCCAGTGCCGCGGGGTATGTCCGAGCAAAAAACAGAACAAAAACAAGGCAGAACAAAAGTAAAAATAAAAAATAAAAAAAGGGTACAAAAGTCAAAAAGAAATAAATGGCTTTTCAAGTCTTATTTACTCGAGAGAGAGAGAGTGAGTCTGGAAGAGAAGGACAGAGTGCGAAGGGCAACACCGAATGGAATCAATGTAAAGGTCACAATTTATTCAATTGCCCTGGCCAAGATATTTTTATAGCGTGTTCATGCGCCAAGGCCCAGACCTAATCCCAAATCACAACGGAATTACAGACTGGTAATGGTTGTGTAGCGGATGAGGCGCCGGAATTGTGAGCGCCAGGGTTCAAGAATCCAGCGTATAATGGCCAATTGATAGCCAAAAGGCATTAACACGCCAAAGCAGAAATTCCCCTGGCTAAAAACCCAGCTGGATGCTCCGCATCCCTTTTCCCCCCTCAACCAACCCAGCCAACTTTTGCTGACTCAAAGAGAGCAAATTTTTTCGCAAGCTCACAGAGAGACAAAAATATTAAGTTCAAATGTAGCAGAAATCCAAAATACGTGCCTGCAGTAGTAAACAGCAGCAGGGTGACCCCGCGTTGGCGACCTTAGGACCCAACCCAAGACCCCAACCGAAAGCCCAACCTATTCGCCTTGTTTAGGTGTGGCTTATGTGTGTACGTGCGTGTTTGCGTGTGTGTGTGTGCTTGTGTGTGTGAAAAGCTGAAAATCACGTCTTATTCAATGCGTTCCTTTGAGGATTTATTGAGGGATAGGTCAGAATATTCATATATCGATATTTCTTTGCTTTATGGTTTTTTATAAAATTTAATAAAATATTGCTGCCAGCCATTGAGACGGAGACAAATGATGGCCAGTCCGTTGCCAGGACTACGTAATGGCCAAGGTACTCCAATGGAGCTGGTGCACAGCGCTTCCAAACACTTAGAGCTATTAAATATTTTACGTTATAATATATACGCACATGTACGGTTAGACATTGAGAGCGAGAGAGCGCATGGGACCTGGGCCAGGTTAATGGCTTAGAATGAAAGAAGCGAGTGTAACGCAACGGGCATATTTATGAAATTTTTATCATCATTTTTCAAAAGCCAGTCAAGAATGCAGCAGAACGCTTCGACACACTCAAGGGCCGGTGCGGGGATCGGGACAAATGCTGCCTGCATTGGATTCCACAAATACTCACATATTTGGTTGCCTTTGAACAGCGGGCAACAGGCCAGCCCAGCGGGTAGCTCACCAACTAAGCAAAATATTGGCTACGCAGCAGATATAAGCAAACATCGTAGTTACATATATATGTACCAAATACCCTGTAAACCTTAGCTGCATACTTAGAATACGTCTAGGTGCTTAGTTTGGTGAGTTGTTATAGTAAAGCTTTGTAGGATTGAATTAAAAGAGTCCATTTGTAACCCATTACCAGACTATTAATATAGATATATACTTTATATCACTTTATATTTATGAAAATGAAAATAGAATATTTACATATATATAAAAGATATAGTTATTACAAGATTATCTTATGTTTGTATTATATTAGTAAAAAATATCCTTCCGAGAATATTTATAAACTAGTTATTATAATTTGAACAGATTTGTATACAATAGTAAAATATAATATAAAAGGAAGATCCTAAATGAGATAAATATCCTATTTAATATATATATTATAAATCAAATATGTATTTTCTATAAGAAGAATTCCGAGCACAAGCTTTCTGTTATTTACCTAGGAAATTAAGTTAAAACCAGTAAAGTTTAATTTCAAATGGGGGGAAATATGTCAGAAACTATAACTATAACTATAACTATATATAAAACTGTTTGTCCTGACTGACTGACTGACTGACTGACTGACTGATTGGTGATCAACGCACAGCCCAAACCGTAAGAGCTAGGAAGCTGAAATTTTCACTGTAGCAAGTGTGGCAAAATCGCGAAAAACGTTTGTATGTAACTTTTTTGTTTACCGTCGGATCGGCCTCAAACTTATTTTCAAAGATCTTTGTTCAAATTCATTTAAGGGGTGTTTCACACTTTTAGGAAAATCCATTCCTCCTTGGTGGAAATGGAGGTCAAAAATTTGGTGGGTGACGTTTCGCGCTTAAATTCGTTTCCAAAGATCTATAGGAAAACTCATTTGAGACGTGTTTCACACTTTTCGCAGAATCCAAACTTTTTCGGGTGGAATGCGACTCAAAGATTTTTTGTGCGAAGTTTTAAATTGTGTCCGATTTGCTTCAAACTCATTTTCAAAGCTCTACATAAGAATGTAATGAATATGTGTTTTAGCGATTTGAGAAATTCCACTCGCAACAGTGGTAAATTGGCGGAAAACGGTTTTATAAAAGTTATTTGTTTATCGTCCGATCAGTTTCAAAATCATTTCAAATTTGCTTGAGAACATTGATTTTATAACATACGTGCCACGGGCAAGGCCGGGTTATACCCGCTAGTTTATATATATTTAGGCATAAAATCTCTAATATGGGAGCCGTTTAATAATATAATATGCTATAGAGTTTATATCATTATAATTAATTTTAATTAAATCAGTCAATAGATTAATAACAATTTACTCAAAAATGCAAACAACCTGTAAGTCTTGTATGCCCCACGAGCGGCACTGGGTATGTGCATTTACAAAAATGAAATAAAATGAAAATTGTTTAAACGCATGGAAAGTGCTTGTGGGATGTGCGCATAATGTTTCTGAGCTACTTACGGGGGC